TATGTTTTTCCTGAATAACATGAGCAATAATCGGGGAAAAAAAGTGATTCCAATGTTTGATTCGTTAGTTTCCTTCTTTTTGTGTGTCTGTGTGTCTGTTTGTCCAGGTTTCAAATTTCCTGTGCCCTTATCTTCCCATTTTAAAAATATTGCTAACCCAAATTCCCGGGTGGGCCGGAAATTTTGTATTTCAGAAGTTCATGAAGTTAGAAAGTTGGAAATTCGAAAAATCAGAGATTCAGAGATTCCGAATTTCTGAGTATTCTTATTTTTTGCTTTAAAGGGGGGGGGGACAGGAGATTTTTCGTAGTTTTTTTGTAGCTAGAGTATGCATTCTACCGTGACGGTGTACAACGCTTAATGTCACTCTGCGTACAGCTGTCGTCCTCGCCTTTATGTATGCAATCGGGCGTGCCCTTTCTCTTTGCCCGCGTGGCTCAGTCGGTTGCGGCGCCGCACCCTCAATCATCGCCCTCACAAGTTCAACTCCTCGAGGGGCATCTTTGAACGGAATTTCGAGAACATTATTTTTTTCATGTCCCCCCACCTTTAAAATAATCAGAACTAAAGAAAGTAAAAAATAAAGTATTTATTTAAGTCAAGTTTGAGCTATGAGCCCCCGATCAGAATTTTTGATCATTTGAGAAAGTAACGAGTAGAAAATGAAACATTAAAAAAAACATCTAAACAGCGCTAGGTCCAGTTATAGTGCCACTGGCTCTCGATGTCTTCTTGTTAGTAGTACCAGTGGCTGCAGTAGTCCCACTGACCCCAGTTTTTCCTGATATTCCAGTTGTCCCCTCCCTTCTTGTTCATCTTTTTGCGGCAAAGCATATAAATTCCGACCCGCCACAACGAGTAGAACAACTCCTCCAATGACACAACCAATAATAATCGCCATTGAATTGTTGGAGGTGGTTGTTGGTGCTGCCTTTGTTGTCGTGGTTATCTCAGCTGGTCGAGTCGTCGTGATCCAGCCACAAACTGTAATGAGTTTTTTGAGCCGGATCAGTTGGGAAACGGAGAGAGCATTAAAAAATTGCGATCTTATCGATTACAACTACCTCTTTGATAACTTACATTCTTCGTGGAGAAAGCAAAATCCATGCACTAACGAGTTGATTTTATTGTAGCAGTCCCCAAGCTAAAAATCTGTTTTTTGAAAATTTCTCATTTTTAGAATTTTCAGAGCAGTTGTTTGTAACAGTGGTCCGGGAATCCAAAAAAAACTTTTTTTCGGAATATTTTCTCGATTTGATTTTAGATGTCAAATGATTCTCAGTGTCCAAATATGCACCAAATACGTTTTGAAGAATTTTGAAAGTCGGGCTCTTGAGTTATGATGCTCAGAGCACAAAAAGTATGTGTCGACATTTTTGTCCTAACTCAGGTGGAAATGTATTTTTCATGAAAAAAAAATTTCACAAATAAGTTGTTTATCAATTTTATGTCAAAAGTTTTTCAATTGTAGTTCAAAACAAAGAGAATCAATAAAAAGAGTTGTTTCACAATATTCGATAACCTATGTCCATTTCTACAAGTCAGATACAGTCACCGGAAAAACCGAAGAAAAAAATTCAAAAAAAGTTTAGCAGCTCGAGGGAGTCGAACCAAAGAGTCATCCCTTGATATTCCTCCTCACTAACCACTCGACCACGCTTCCACATTTTTCAACACAGAAAAACTTATATACGTGAGGAAGGAAAATGAGATGAAAAATCCACGTCATTTTTCGAAACTTTCAACCCAATTTTCTCGAAAACTACCGCGACAATGCACTTTTTGAAAACAGATTTGGAATCAGGAAAATCTCAGCTTTCAGATGATATAGGTCACCACCCGTATCGCCACACCCGAGTTGGGGCCTTCCCTAGTAAATTAAATGTGATAGAACTTGACGAGTACTACAAAATTATGTTATTTGCAAAACTGTATCTTGTCTATGACCAAAGCTTCAGGCAAAAAATTCAGGCCCGACCCGAGCATAGATGTCCGGATTCCGGATTCCGTGCTTTTTTTCATTCCGGATTCCGGATGTCGGATTCCGTTTCTCAAAAAATTCATTCCGGACATCTCTGGACCCGCCCCAGCCTGACAAAAAAAAACTATGGCAGGGCTCGCAGTGGCCAGGCAGAGGCACGGTTTCCAAGTCTGCTGATTACAGGCCTTTTTTCAAAGAAAGACCGCAACCGTTGAATCCGAATCTATACCTAATCGAGTGTTGGAAAACTAGAAAACTTTAAAAAAAAAATTCTAAACCAGGCTAGTAGACAAGTAAGTTGAACTAACAACTTTTTCAAAACTAAAAATTACATTTTTTAAGAGAGCTCAAGCAGGGTTTCTCGGTTCGCACGGTTCGCAACTCACTGTCTTTGTTCGAGTTCTTTTCACAGAAATTTTTCATCACTGGATCCACGATTTGTTTGCAGTCGTCTAAAAGAATTAAAATTTTAAATGTCCGGAAACTTCTCGAATCTAAAACTTACCGTCACTCATAGGAATTTCTTTGCAAGCTTTCATCAAAGCTTCTCTAGCACTTCCACAATATTCTGAAAATCGATTAGTTTTTGTTATCATTCTTACAATACCAACCTGGCTTTTGGCTACATAATTTGTCTATAAAAGTGTTCCTATAAAAAAATGATAATTTCTCAAAATGAGCTGATAACTTACGCCTTGCGAACCGAGAAACCCTGCTTGAGCTCTCTTAAAAAATGTAATTTTTAGTTTTGAAAAAGTTGTTAGTTCAACTTACTTGAGCAACACTTCCTCGGTTTTTATCCAATCCCACCAAGTAATGTCGAACATATCCGAAGATCCCATGGGGGCAAAAATAGCGTAGCTGTTCAGAAACAAGCAGAACTGATTTCCAACTGTATCGATTCTCTCTTTTATAGAGATTTTTTTTCGGTTCAGTAAACCATGCCGGGGCTGGGGTTTCCAGAATCAGAGGGGTCATTGATATTTCAGTCTACTAGCCTGGTTTAGAATTTTTTTAAAAAAGTTTTCTAGTTTTCCAACACTCGATTAGGTATAGATTCGGATTCAACGGTTGCGGTCTTTCTTTGAAAAAAGGCCTGTAATCAGCAGACTTGGAAACCGTGCCTCTGCCTGGCCACTGCGAGCCCTGCCATAGTTTTTTTTGTCAGGCTGGGGCGGGTCCAGAGATGTCAGTTCACAATTTCGAACTTATGTGGAGAGGGTTCGATGTTCCGTATTCCATGATTTTTCTGGGAGCCGAGAGTAATTTGGTGGAGATCGTATAATTTTCTCAATTTTTCTTAGACACCTGACTTTTCGATCAATTTTTGCTTGAAGTTTGAATTTTTAGAAATTAAGAATTTCTTGGAATTTGAAAAAAAAACTACTACAGCTGAAAAATAAGCTACCAATTCTAATAAAGCTCTAAAAACTTTGCAGATTAGTGAAGAAATCACGTCTCTAGCACTTCTAGGAGCGTAGATACGTCCGTTTGAAGCTGAGAGGAGACGCAGACAGTTAAAGTGTCTCGCTGTATGCGCTCTCTCCTTTCCACACACTTTCTAGCCGCCTGAACTTCAAATGACTGTATCTCGAGTTCTACACGAGCTAAAATAGGGGCTTTTTGACTCGAAACCTTGATTTTGAATGCTTTTTCATGTTTGAAAAAACCGAGATTTCCAAAATTTTCGAATGTACTAATTTTCTTTCGAAAAATTCTGTTATTTTATTATTAAAAACTGAAAATACGTTCAAAACCACACAAATCAGTCAAAATTTCATCTTTCTAGCTAATCTAGTAGCCGAGATACAGCGCTTTGAAGTTCGGAGAGACTCAGACAGCTAGAGTGTCTCGCTGTCCGCGCGCTCTTCCTTTCACACACTCTCTAGTCGCCGAAACTTCAAAGCGCTGTATCTCAGCGCCCAGGCGAGCTAGAATGCTTATTTTTTCACATATTTGTTCAGTTTCAACTAATTTATTCATCTTTGCTGTTCGATATTGCGCTCCAAACTTTCGTTTACAACTTGCTCCTCTTCAAATTCATCATTTTCCTCGCCTTCCATGTCATCAACACCAGGAAACATGGGATTCTCATATTCATCAACGATGGCATCATTGTCCAAATGAATCTGAGCAAGCAATTCCCGAGCTCTCCGCTCCTCTTCCTCAGCATGAAGCCACGCTTTTCTGTCTTCCTCCTCCTTGATCTCTCTCATCGCATCCTCCATCTCCTTTTCATAGATTTCTTGAGTGACGTCTTCTGGCCGAAGACGTTCTCTTGCCAACCAGATCTCTAATTTTTCCACTGCCTTTGTGTAATTTTCTTCATGTTCCTCATGAGCCCTTCTTTCTTGAAGCACTTGCCGTTTCATTTCCCATTCCAATTTGGGTTTGAGGCCCTCGAACATTCTCTCCGCCTCCTCACGTGTCTCACATTCTGGCTTTCGGGGTCTGAAAAATTATATAAAATCGAAAGAATTTGAGACCTAAATCCTTCTGAAATTTCGGAGAGATTAGTGAAAACACTAGCCTTCTAGCTCATCTAGGAGATGAGATACAGTCATTTAAAGTTATGCGACAATAGAGTGTAGGGCAGGCAGAGAGCGCAGACAACAAGACACTCTAACTGTCTGCGTCTCTGAAAACTTCAAAGGACTGTATCTCGGCTCCTAGATGAGCTAGAGAAGTGATTCTTCAACTCATTTGTGTCATTTTTCCACGGTTTTCAAATTATTTTTATAGTTTTAAATAAATTTTTATTGAAAAATTTGGACAAAAATGTAAACATTTTACATAATTTGAAAACCCCTTCAAATTGCTTCGAAACAGTTCAAGAATCCTGCTTCTAGCTCATCTAGGAGCCGAGATACAGTCATTTGAAATTATTTCAGAGACGCAGACATTTAGAGTGTTTCGTTGCCTGCGCTCTCCCTTCCACACACTCCCTAGTCGCCTAAACTTCAAATGGCTGTATCTCGGCTCCTAGTTGAACTAGAAAGATGATTTTTGGACAGAATTAACTGGAATTTTTAGCGCTTCCATTGTGATATTTTTTCCAACTTACGGCTTAACAATATCCGCATCATCATCTTTCGCAAAATGATCAATATCCAATAATTCTCCAGTTTCCCAATGATGCATTCGCTTCCGAGACTTTCTCTGCTCCTCTACTGTAGTAATCCGTTCTTTCGCAAATTTTCCTGTCCAGCGATCAATTTGGTTCTCCCTGAAAAGTCTTCTGACTTCTGGAGACGATAAACGGCGTCGTCTTTCTGGAACTGTCGGCCTTTCGGGGTGTATGTCAAGGGTTGTGGATTCCAGTTGACGTTGGAGAATGGCAGGTTGCTCGCGGATGTGCTCATCGACGCATTCTTCGAGATCTGTGATTCCCAAAGTACGTAAATGTTTGAGCAGAATTGCCAAAAAAAATTATGCATTGAGCTTTTCTAGAAAGCGAGATACAATCATTCGAAGTTTAGGCGCCTGGAGAGTGTGGGCAAGGAAGAGAGTGCCGACGACGAGACACTCTAACTGTCTGCGTCTCTTCAAAACTTCAAATCGATGTATCTCAGCTCCCAGATGAGCTACAATCATGAAATTTGAACCGATTTTCATAGTTTTGAACGTATTTTTAGCTTTGGTAAATCGTTTGTTATTATTGTTATTAGTGTTATTTTTTTGTGAAAATTTATGGAAAATCGGAAAACTTAAAATTTTTGAATATCAGTTTTCTCGGAAAATGAAAAAAAAAATCACAGATTTCAGTCTAAAAACCAGTTTTCTAGCTCATCTAGAAGCCGAGATACACCAATTTAAAGTTTAGATAACTAGAGAGTGTGTGGAAGGCAGAGAGCTCAGACAACATGACTCTCTAACGGTCTGCGTCTCTTCACAACTCAAAATGGCTATATCTCGGCTCCCAGACAAGCTAGAAATGTAATTTTTTTCACTAATCTTCGTAGTTTTTAGAGTTTTTTTAAACTTCAGGGTTTACCAATTTTTCAATATCGGTTTTATTCAAAAATTTTGATTTTTTCGGAATCTGCAAAACTGGAAACTTGAAAAAAACATCAATTGAAAAAAAGTTCTAAAAAATCAAGGCTTTCTGTTCAAAAACCTGTTATCTAGCTCATCTAGGAACTGAGATACGGTCATTTAAAGTTTAAGCAACTAGAGCGTGTTGGGAAGGAAGAGAGTGGAGACGACAAGACTCTCTAACTGTCTGCGTTTCTTCTAAACTTCAAATAGCCGTATCTCGGCTCCCAGACAAGCTAGAATCCTCATTTTTTCACTAATATTTTCAAAGTTTTCTCTATTTTTAGATTTCCCAACTCACATTTTGCCATATACTCCATTCTTGTAAAAACCAACGTCGTTTCCAGCCAACTAAGCTCCTCAATCATCGCAGTTGGGATAAAATAGGGATCTGGTCCAGATTTGAACGATGTTCCACATTCTTCATCTTCATCGAAAATCAAGGAGTCTATAGCGTGAAATGGGCGTTTTCTGGAGGTCATCTGAAAATTCTAAATTTTCAGAATTTTCCAGAAAAATCTGAAAATCAGGAAACTGGAAAAAATGAGCCCAGAAACACACACCAACAAAAGAATGTAATTGCCAAAAAAAAAGACGCCTCCTGGCGTCGCATGCCGTCCCTTCGGCGCCATGGGCGAGAGAGTGTGTAAGATGACGAGACACAGAGACACTAGGGGAGGTCTAGTGGCCGCGCCAAATGTGCGTGAATTCAAAGCAGACAAGAATCATGAACGATGAATAAAAATCGAAAAGAGAGAAATAGTTTTAGTAGGTAAGAGACTAGCATTGCCAGCAGAGAATGTCTGCGTCTCTCGTGCGCCTGAACTCTCTTGCTCGCTGCCGAGCGAAGGTTCTTTTTGGAGAGAATCGTTTTATCTGGACGCTTTTTTTTGGAATTTTTGAAATTATGAAAGGTAAATTTTAATTTGAATTTTTCAAAATCTCGAGATTTGAAATCAGCATATCGAGAGCTTTAAAATGAATATAAATATAACCAGTTTTAATTAAATTTGGAATTTTTGAAATTTTTCGGGTTACTGTACTTATACAAATTCGAAAGCTCTTTTGTAAATTCAAAATTTCTAAAAAAGTCAAATTTTTCAGAACATTCGCACGCCGTCAAGATGAATACCTCCTCATTGGCTCAACAATGGTTGGAGCATTTGAGCAAACCGTGAGTTTTGAAGCTCAATTAACTCGGCTCCTAGGAAAGGTATCAACAATTTATAATTTACAAAATGTTTATCACACTATCACTGATTTTTTATCAGTTGATAAACTATTAATATCTCATGAAGGAACCGAAATAATTGAGCTCGAAGTCTACTTTCGTAGCTCACCCGGTAGCTTGCACTTTGAGCTCAATTATCTTGTTTCTTGTAAGAGATATCAAAAATTGGAAAACTGATAAAATATAGCTGATAATATGATGAACATTTTATCAGTTGACAATTTTTTGATATCTCTTATAGGAACCGAGATAATTAAGTTTTAATCAATTGTCTTTTTCAGACTCGATAACATTGAGCTTTGTCAAGAATGGAAAGCAAAAGGAAAGGATCTACAGGAATTGGAGGAAAAAGTCACGGTGGATAAGAAATCAAAGGAAGAGGAGAAAAAATGAGCAAACGTGCTCTATGGACAATCAAATTATTTTCAAATTCATAATATTAAACTCATACTGAAAATGGAAGTTTTATGTTGAATAAATATTTAAAAAAAGTTAAATTTTTGGTAAAAAAAGACATCAATATCTAGCTGTTGAAGCTGCATTAGTCGTCCCAGTCATCGTTGTTCCATTAGCGGTTTCAGTTCCTGTCTTTACAGGTGTTCCAGTTATCGTAGTACCGTAGTACCTTTATTCGTTGGTCCAGTCAGCGATTGCCCCCTCTCCAGCTGATTTCATCTTCTTACAGTTACAGAAAATAGCAATCCCAATGGCGATAAAGACGATGACTCCAACGACTCCTCCAATTATGAATGGAATCATTTTGTTGCCATCAGTAGAAGTCATCGTAGTCGCTTCGGTTGTCGTAGTCGGACGATTGGGACATGCCACAGCTAAAACTCAATTATCTTGGTCTTTGTTAGAGATATCAAAAAGTTGCCAACTGATAAAATATTTATCAAATTATTACCAACATTTTATCAGTTAACAGATTTTTGATATCTTTTATGGGAAGCGAGATAATTGAGCTCAAATGCACCAGCTGGCTCATCTGGCAGCTTCCACTTTGAGCTCAATTATCGCGGTTGATATAAAAAATAACAAATATTTGTCAACTAACAAAATGTAGATAATATTAAGACACTCGTTTTATTAGTTAACAAGTTTTTGATAATTCTTACAGAAATTGAGATAACTGAGCACCAACTTACAATATGACTCATCTTTGCAATATTTTTCAATAGCCTTTGCAACTTGATTGCTGCATGAGATTTCCCTTGTCGCATGAACACAGTCCTCTCGGAGTTTGTCTTGTACTTCTAGACACTTTTTCTAAAATTAAAGTTTTTAATATGAACCTAGTAGCGCTCATCCACCTACCTATTTGAATATGTTATAAACCAATTTTTTTTTTCAATATGAACCTAGTAGCGCTCATCCACCTACCTATTTGAATATGTTATAAACCAATTTTGACGAAATGGTTACTGTACTGATATGATGCTAGGATAGTTGGATGAAAACAGGGGTCAGTTAGTTCGAATCTTTTCATGTTTCTGGGATATGAACATCAGGTTAGCGGGATTAAAGGTTTCCATTTCAATCTCCATTTTCTATTGCGTTTTCAAACTTCTCATCATGATACTTTCCGACTTTTCAACTCTACTTTTCATCATTTTGCTCCTATCTTACACAATTCATATCCCTTTTCATCTGAAAACATATAACATGACGTCTCCAATTCAGTCCTCTCCTGGCGCTTTGGCCCCCGTACCAGGCACATGGAAGTCAGAAGTCACTTTGTGCAAGAATTAATATTTTTTATTTGTTTTTTAATCAAAATGTTTTATTGGTTGTCATGGGGAAAGCAATCGTTTTAGCCAAAAGTTTTAGGATTAATCGGTTTTCAAAATTCTAGTTTCTTTTTATTTTTTTTTAGGATTACTTTTCAAATTCAGAATTTTCAGAAAAATACCATGTCTGAAATTCCAGCTTCTTCAGGTTCTTCAACTCAAGAAAGACAAAAAACAGGTGAGAAATTCTGAAACTTTAAATTTTTAAATTCGGAAATTCAGAAATTCTCAAATTCAAAAATTCAAAAAATTTAAAAACTCAAACATTCCAAAATTCCAAAATTCAAAAATTCAGAAATTCAAAATTCCAAAATTCTGCCCAATCCGAAAATTCCTAAAACTGTGAAATCCTGAAAATTAAAAAAAAACCATGAAATCCCGAAAAATCCCAAAATTCTGAAATTCAGAAATTCGGAAATTCAGAAATTCAAATATTCAAAAATTCAGAAATTCAGAAATTCAGAACTTCAAAAATTCAAAAATGCAGAAATTCAAAAATTCAAAAATTCAAAAATTCAAAAATTCAAAAATTCAAAAATTCAAAAATTCAAAAATTCAGAAATTCAGAAATTCAAAAATTCAAAACACTTCAAAAATGTAAAACACTTCAAAAATTCAGAAATTCAGAAATTCAGAAATTCAGAAATTCAGAAATTCAGAAATTCAAAAATTCAAAAATTCAAAAATTCAAAAAATTCGAAAATTCAAACGTTCAAAAATTCAGAAATTCAGAAATTCAAAAATTCAAGAATTCAAAAATTCAAAAATTCAAAAAATTCAAAAATTCAAAAATTCAGGAATTCAGAAATTCAAAAATGCAGAAATTCAGAAATTCAGAAATTCAGAACTTCAAAAATTCAGAAATTCAATAATTCAAAAATTCAGAAATTCAAAAATTCAAAAATTCAAAAATTCAGAAATTCAGAAATTCAATAATTCAAAAATTCAGAAATTCAAAAATTAAAAAATTAAAAAATTCAGAAATTCAGAAATTCAAAAATTCAAAACACTTCAAAAATTCAAAAATTCAGAAATTCAAAAATTCAAAAATTCAAAAATTCTGCAAAATCCGAAAGTTTCTAAAACTGTGAAATCCTGAAAATTAAAAAAAAACCACGAAATTCCGAAAATTCCAAAATTCAAATTTTTAGATTCTCTTGAATCCCTCAACCCAGAAAAACAGAACCGTTTTAACCGTCTAATAGAGAGAATGGAGGCTGTGGACCGAAAAATCGAGGAACTCTCAAAAAATCTGGCTACAGTAGTCTCAGAAATCGAGAAGCGATATGGGAAAATGGTAGATTAATTTTTAAAACCCTTCATTTCATATTAAAAATAAATGTCTAATTATACCCGAGATACATAATTACCCTTAATTGAAAAAAAAAATTTTAAGAAAAATTCCAAAAAAATTATGACATTTTAACTCCATGAAGAACATTATGGTCCGAAACTTTTCTCTCCATTTGGTGGCTCTTTTTTGAATATTTTGTGGCCAAAAGAAGGATCAGCGAGACAGTAAGAAGTTCGGAGAGGGTCCAGACATCAAACACATCCGACATGGATCTCACTTCGGCGAGTACAGTACCCGCGCGAACGCATAGGAAGTTGTACGGGAAGAGACCTGAAAAAAATTGAGCAAGGAAAATGAGTTTTCGAGCTTACCAACAAACACCGAGCTGGCGTGATAACGAAGTGGTACATCTAAAAATGGACTGGAGATGTTGAGCAACCAGTGAGGCGTGAATGGGAAGACTCTGGCGGAGAGAAGGAACAACCAAAGACGGTCACGCTCGGCATTTACCTGAAAATTTTCAAAAATTACCGGTATATCCAGGAAATACGAAAAATTCCTGTCAATCTTGTTCAAAAACCAGCTTTCTAGCTCATCTTGGAGCCAAGATACAGTCATTTGAAGTTTAGGCCACTAGAGAGTGTGGACAAGGGAGATAGCGGAGACGACGAGACACTCTAGCTGTCTGCGTCTCTCTCAAACTTTAAATGGCCGTATCTCGACTTTTAGATGTTCTAGAGAAGTGATCCTCTTTGAATTGTTTTGTGTCATTTTTAAATTGTTTTTAGATTTTATGAAAATTCGTATAATTTTCAGAAAATCGAAAAATCAATTTTTTGAAATTTTTTAGAAATCGGCAAATCTTTAAAAATAGCGTCAAAAACAATGAAAAAAAAAACACTTCTCTAGCCCACCTACGGACCAAGATATAGCGCTTTGAAGCTTAATCGCGTATAGACTATGGGGGAAGTCGGAGAGCGCAGACAACAAGACACTCTAACTGTCTGCGTATCTCAAAAACTTCAAATGGCCGTATCTCGGCTTCTAGATGAGCTAGAGAAGCGATTATTGGACTGTTGAATGTGTTTTTGAGGAGTTTTCGAACAATTAAAAATTCTAAAACTTCGAAATTTCAAAATAATTTGGAAATTTGAATTTTGTCAAATTTTTTGGAATTCGCAAATTTGACAATTTTTTCAAAAATGATAGAGCAAAAATTAGAGAAAAAATCGCTTCTCTAGCCCACGGACGAACCAAAATATAACGCTTCGAAGCTTAGTAGAGACGCAAACAGTTAGAGTTTCTAACTGTCTGCGCTCTCTCCTTCCCCACACTCTCTAGTTGCTTAAACTTCAAATTACGATATCTCGGGTCCCAGATGAGCTAGGGAGCAGATTTTTCTATTTTTCTAGAACAACTTTTTATGAAAAATTTAATTTTTCCTACCATAACTCTCAAATTCTCAATTCTCGTTTTCAAATATCGTTCCACAATTGGCGCTGCAAAAAGTGCCGACAAACAGAAACAAAACGATGCTCCGATGGCATTGAGGGTGCAGACAAGGGCAACTCCACGGAGAGTTCCAAACAGAGCACCGGATAGAAGATTCTGGAAGGAATTTTTGGTTTTTTTTTTCAGACAAAAAACTTTTTGAATAAAATAGTTTTCAAAAATTTTAAATTTTCAAAATTACCATAAAAAATGAGCCAGGAATTGCAAAAGTCTGCTTGTAGAGGTATGCTGTAGAGAAGAGAAGTAAGGTGTAGAGAGCATGGGATTCTCTGAAAAAATTGGATTACTGTAGTTCCTTGGATTACTGTAGTTCTTTGGATTACTGTATATTTTTATCTGGGTTACTGTAGATTTCAAAAATAAAAGAAACTCACTCATATTTGCCCAAACTCGAGCTCAAATCTCTCAATCCATCCAAATCTCTGGGAAATCTCGGCCGTTTAGCGCCCTGGGAATTTTAGAGCTACAGTAATCCGAATTTCAGGAATTTCAAAATTTCAAAATTTCAAAATTTTCAGAATTTCAAATTCTTAGAATTTCTGAATTTCAAAGTTCCAATGAAAATTGAAGTCTTGGGGCGAATTTGAAAAAAAATCTGAATTTGAAAAATTAGGTTGACAGTTATTCAAATATCATATATTTGAACAATTTGGAAAAATGGCAAAAATTCAAAAATTTAAAGATTTGAAAAAAATGAATCCGAAATTCTGACTGTTTTGAAATTTAAGCTAGAAAAATGCCTAAAAATCTGGAAAATTTTGAGAAAGTTCAAAATTTTTTATTGAAATTTTGACGTTTCGAATCTCAAGCTGAAAAAAGTCAAAAAAATCTAGAATTCCATGAAAAGTCAAAGTTTTCAGAATATTTTTATCTGAAAAAATATAAAAGACTACCGTAAATCCTCTAATAGAACGACACTCGGATCGTCCACTTTGAGCCTAT